TGTGGGGAGAGAAAGGGAAGCTGATTGTAAGCCACACTAAGACTCCTTTGGGTAGCGAAGAACGGGGTATAAAACCAACTCTTCTTCTTCCTACTGTTGGTATAATGTGCCTGCATAGCGAGGGCAGAGGCAGACTGGCCATTTCGGTTATAGGGAAACAGACTGACGTATCCTACTTTACCTTCTCCTCTTTCTTCCCGCTCGATATCCTGGAACGTTTCTTTCTCATGCACTGCAGCTCTAGCTCCGATGCGTCAGTCTTTGTGCACCTGCAAGCTTGAATGGCGGCTGGCCCAGTGGGGATTCGTCTTTCCCACGCTTTTCAGCCCTGCGTGAGCCCCCCCCGTCTCAATCTGCAACAGATGCAATTTCTCAGAGCAGCTGTAAAATGGTGACCTGTGTCTCAGAGGTTCTGTATATCATGGTGTTTCAGAGGCCGACAGCCGCTACCTCGTGGAATATTGCAAGAGTAACTAGGAACGTGCCAAATTCATGGGCAAAGCAAGGGATTCAAAACTAAACACAGGGGGTATGAAATGCCCCAGACACCCAGTCAAACGCTCTACCCCCATTTTTGATCATTACAAATCAAGCTTTCCCCCCTTATTCTTCCAGCACCATTTCCCCTCCTCCTCCCTTATCCCAGCCAATCGTGGATCACATAGTGAATGCAAGGACATCACAGCCCAGTAGAGCCAACCAGATTTGGCTGTAAGGTTTCAACGGGGAGCAGATGAAGCCCATCGCTTCCCCCCACTGTGAGTAGGGAGAGGGAGGGGGAATAAGTAGGCCCGTTGCCAAGGCAACTGGGCCAGTGCTCCCTGATTTGCCATGCTGTGCTGTGGCAGATGGTGCTGGAGCACAGCATGGCCAGACAGGGAGCATCAATCTGGCTGCCTCAGCAGTGGACTGACACATTCACTCTCTGCATGAACACTTCCACTTTTCATAGTATTGTTGCTAGTTTCCAGGGGAGGAAATGTGTGCATCTGTGTGTTTTAATGTAGTTGTAAATAGTTACAGTTCTAGAAACACCAAGATCCCCCTAGAATGTGAGATATGCTTGATGTATTTTTTTTAAAAGTGTCCTTTGATACCGGAACTCCTCTAAGGACGGTTCCGAATGCCCAACTCAGACTTATGTACGACAGTGTGCGTGGCGTGAGTAATTTTCCTGTGTATACAGAGGGCAGATTGGCCAACGAACGCTCCTATTTCCCAGGAATTGAGACAACACACTAGGTTTAATGAATAAATGTTGCCTTTTTACTAAGCAGTTTTCAAGCATACGAAAAACAGATGCACACGCAGATTCACACAAGTTCCTTAGTTACAATAGTATATAGAAAGCAATCAGCATGGAAAAATAACAAATTCAACAGAAAAGAGGGATAACACAGCAGGATATCGCTTATACTTATCTGAGGTCCAAGCTGAGTAGAAATCTCCTCGTAGAAGAAGTGGGGCAGCCTAAGTATCAGCGGGTGGACTCTAAAACACACGGACTGGTCTGGCCAAGCCACGTGCGGGTTCTCGGGTCGCGACTCCCGAAAACGCAGTAAGAATCACCTGCAGCACTTAAGTTGCAAGGTAAGGGAGGGGTGGGTTAACCAGAGAAACAAAGGCTGTGTTTCTCTTTTTAAAAGCTTGTTTTTGGGTTTGGCTTACGGCCATAAACCCTTAGGGTCCGTCCTCTTTACTATGGCTATAGGTTAAAGAGTTGTGATGTCCTAATCGAGGGGAAGGGGGCAATATGCAGATGCTCTACCCTAACTTCAAAGAGAGCCATGTGGCCAGGTGTGAAACCGTTGTTTCCATTGGCAACCTTTGACTTGCAGAGATGTGCCTGGTTCCAGGGAGGGCAATAAAGGAAGTCTTCTTTGTGATTCCAAACCAGATAGCAGGAAGAGTTACATGGTTTCCCACAGGTCAGGAACGGTGGGGAACCCTGTTGTTCCTCCAAGTGTCCCAACTGGGCACAATGGCGCTGGTCTTCTTTGTCCAGAGGCACTCTGGGAAGGTGCAGGGAAGCATGTGTCCTGTAGCAGGCAACACCAGCCTTGCTCATCCAGATGCAAGCATGAGGTGTACAGCTAGCCATACAAACACAGCAGCAAACACAGCAGTAATCCCTGAGTCCCAAATGCACAGATACACAGACATCTGACAGACACAGCATCAGCACAGTACAGACAATGCAATTACAAGCACACATGGTTACACCTTAGCCTTAGCTACAAATATAAGCTTAATGTCTTCCTGGCTCTTCAGAATGCACTCTTCGAATTCCTGATGGGCTTAGAAGAGGGCACTCATCTTGTACCCTGCTGATCCAAGGGCAAGGCTAGACCTCATGGGCTTAAATGATAGGACAGTTGATTTGGGTGGAAGCACAGGAGAAAGACCCTTACCTGGGTAGCCCAAGCTAGCTCGATGTCACTGGGTCTTGGAAGCTAAGCAGGGTTGGCTCCATTTAGTATTTGGATGGGAGATCACCAAGGAAGTCCAGAGTTGCGACAAAGAGGCAGACAGTGGCAAACCACCTCTGAACATCTCTTGCCTTGAAAAGCCTACTGGGTTGCCACAAGTCATCTGTGATGATGGTCCTTTCACCTATCACAGGAGAAACTTCCTAACCGTGCAGACTAGAGAACCAATTGCCTAGGGTGATGGTGGACTCTCCCTTGCTGGAAATCTTCAGGCAGAGGCTGGACAGGCTTCTGTTGGTGATGGTCTAACTTTGGATTTCCTGCACTGAGCAAAGGTCAGACTAGATAGCTTTATAAGGACCCTTCCAACCCTATGATTCTATCTAACTGCGTATTCCTTAATCATAGGCATCCCTAGAGACAGCTAAGAAACAAAGGGAAAGGATGGTAGCACCAAATATGGGGGAGATGATTTGCTTTCTTTCTGTAGCAGTGAAAGAGGCAAATTTTATGTTAGGAATTATTAGGAAAGGGATTGAAAATAAAACGGCTGATATTATAATGCCTCTGTACAGGTCTGTGGTGTGGCCTCGTTTGGAATACTGTGTACATTTCTGGTCACTAAAGGACATTGCAAAGCTGGAGAAGATACAGAAAAGGGCAATCAAGATGATTAGGGGGTTGGGGCACCTTTCCCATGAGGAAAGGCTGACGAGTCTGGGGCTTCTCATCTTAGAAAAGAGACAATTTAGGGGTGTGTGATAGATGTTTATAAAATTATGCGTGGGGTGGAGAGAGTTAATGAGAACTTTTTCTCCCTCTGCCAAAATACTAGAACTTGAGGGCATCCGATTAAGCTGATGGGCAGTAGATTCAGGACGGACAAAAGGAAATACTTCTTCACACAGAGTGTGTTTAAAATGTGGAATTTGCTGTCAGAGGATTTGCTGTCAGAGGCCATCAATAGACAGCTTGGTGAGCCAGTTTGGTGTAAGTGCGCGGACTCTAATGTGGGAGAACCGGGTTTGATTCCCCACTCCTCCACTTGCACCTGGCTGGATGACCTTGGGCAAGCCGTAGTTCTGATAAGAGCTGTCCTTGAAAAAGAGCAGTTTCTGTCAAGAGCTCTCTCAGCCCCACCTACCTCACAGGGTGTCTGTTGTGGGGAAGGGGAGGGAAAGGAGTTTGTAAGCCGCTCTGAGACACCTTTGGGTAGTGAAGGGCGGGGTATAAATCCAATCTCCTCCTCCTCTTCTTCTTCTTCTTAAAAGGAGATTAGATAGACCAATGGAGAAAAGGTCTGTCAGTGGCTACTAGCCATGGTGACTGAGGGGAACCTCCACGTTCAGAGGCAGTCAGCCTTGGAATCCCAGTGCCAAGAAGCCCTCCAAGGGAACTGGTTGGCTACTATGTGAATAGTCACATGGATGGGCACAGTAATAAGACCAGCGAAAAAAAAGGGGGGGGAACTGTGACAATTTAGCGCTTAACGATATATTCATAAATCATAATATATGATTATGAATATATTGTAATATTATATGATAATATAATATAATGATGTATTATATGTTTTATATTATTATGTATATTATGTTTTTATTATGGCAAGGTTCTGCCTTGCCTCTGTAAGCCGCCCTGAGCCCATCGGGGAGGGCGGGGTATAAATGTGAAAAATAAATAAATAAACTAAATAAATAAATACAATGACAAAAAATGAACAATATATATAGAGAATGTAGACGGTGGTTTCCGGAATGGTGAATGCAATTATAGCCCATTGAAGAACCTAGCTGTAAGCATAGCTTTATGATGAAGTGAATCAGCAGTGATATTTAGGAGACACCTTGTGTGGGATATGGTTGCCAACTCTGGGTTGGGAAATTCGGGTGATGGAGCCCTGGGAGGAACTCTCGGTATGCAGGAAATTCACAAATACCTCCCCCCCACCTCCTGTGAACTCCCTCCCTCCCTGAAGAGGGCAAAAAATCCCAAACCCTCCAGGATCCCTGGCCAAACTGGCCTGGAGAACAAGTGCTTCCTGATCCCAAAGTGGTGATCAGCCTTTCTCTGGGCGTGTAAGAAAGGGCCACGAAAGTGGGAACAGAGATACGTCACCAAGAGAAATGAATTGTTAAAAGACAGTTTATGTACACATCCTTGTTCAGAAGAAGATCGTTGTCGAAACGGCACACCACTATATATATTGTTCATTTTTTGTCATTGTATATTATGATTTATGAATGTATCATTAAGCGCTAAATTGTCACAGTTTCCCCCCCTTTTTCCCCGCTGGCTACTATGTGAGACAGGCTGCTGGACAAGATGGACCACTGGTCTGATCCAGCCAGGCTCTTCTTATGTTCTTGGGTCCATTGTGTCTGAAGAAGTCATAAAAGCTCATGCTGGAATACATGTTGTTAGTCTTTTAGGTGCCATTGGACTTCTGTTTTGTTTTGCTGCTGTAGGCTGACACAGCTCGGCTACCCCTCTGGAAGCACCAAAACCAGCCACAAAAGCAGAACTCGAGGCACATCCCGTGATGCTCTCTTCCTTTTCGTTCCTTCACAGGTCATGAAAGCTCCTCTGGAGGCCACTGTGTGATCTCAGAGTTTATACGACCCCTGCAGCTATCCGGCGATAAACCAGAGCAATTGTCCGTCAAGCCAACTTTCCTCTCCCGGTCACGATCTGGCAGCCCAAGATGCAGATTTGAATCAGACGTGAGTTGGAAATGAGTTGGACGAGCTTGAGTCTTCCATCTTCCTCGGCTCTGATGAGGCAACTAGTTTGTTTTTTAAACAACAACAAAAAAGTCTGATTGTGTGGATGCTGTGAGGTGCGCGGTGCACACTGGCCCCTATGGAAGGGGCACTGAAAGAACAAGCGAAAACCAGGCTGTGTTCAGCCAGGCAGATATCCAACCATGCCACTCCTCCGGAGGAATGGCATTTCCATTTGTGATTTCCACCAGTTTTCCCCTCTCACTGACCCCGGTTCTGTTCCAGGTGGTCTAGTGGCTCCCAGGAACAACATTCCAGGTAGGGGAGGCTCAGGGGGAAGAGGAAGAGGGAGCAGGAAATTCCAATTCTGCAAAACCTGTTGATGGTTGGATACAGACCAATACTTTTGTAACAATGTCCACCAGAATGCTGTGGTGGCCTCAGTCCTACCAAGTGTACACTGGGAAGGGTTGTGGCTCACTGGCAGCGCATCTGCTTGGCATGCAGAAGGTCCCAGGTTCAATCCCTGGCACCTCCAGTTAAAACGATCAGGTAGGTGGTGATGTGAAAGACCTCAGCCTGAGACCCTGGAGAGCAGCTGCCAGTCTGAGTAGGCTATACAGTATAAGGCAGCTTTCATGCGTTCATGTGCATTCGCACCGATTGCTGGCACACCTCTCAGCATTACCTGTGTCCCTTCCCCCACTATATTTCAACAGCCTGACCTGGCTTTGTTTATTTAGGCCCCTGCCACACGGCAGGGGAAAAGCCTCTTAAGGCGCGGCTTTTCAAAGGATCCCCTGGCCGCGGCACCTTTTCTCCCCGGCGCGATCAAACACCGGGGAGAAAACATGGCCCTAATCGGCAGCCGGCCGAACTGCGCATGTCAGAGCATGCGCAGTTCGGCTCCGGGCCGGGGTTGTGCCGGCGCAAGGAGGCACCGGCGATCAAACGCCCGGCTAGAAGCACGTCTTCAAGTTGAACCACCAAGGTAGGTGGTTTCAACTTGAAGCGGATTTGAGCGGGGAAGGGCCAGTTCGGGGACGGAAGCACCACGCTTCCCAGATGTTGTGGTGTGATCGCGCTGGTTTGATCCTCCCCCGAACTGTTCTGCAACTGGCCCAAATCACCTCGTGTGGACGGGACCTTAGTTTAGTAGCACTAAAATAAAGTGTGGCAATTAAACAAAAAAACCTTTTTCGTTGTGTTGGGGCACCATTTTCAGCACAGGATTTAGATAAGTAGCAGAAGGAGGAAATGACTTCAGCTTTGCATTAGAGCAGAGGTCTCCAAGCTGTTTGAGCCCGCGGGCACATTTGGAATTCTGACCCGGCACGGTCGGTGCGGCAACAAAATGACTGCCACATAATGGCTGCCGCAGGGGGTGGAGCCAGCCACCAAATGATTCTCACGGCTTAACTTCAGTCGCACAGTGTAGGTCCTTGTGCTGTGCTGGTGGCTGCTGCCAAAACAACATTTTAAAAAATCTGCATAGCCCATCAACTCGCCAGTGGTCAATCAGAAGCCGGGGGAGGGGCCAAAGACCCTACCTGGCCTCACCCACTTCCCCAAAACCTTTGGTGGGTGCCCGAAAAGGTGTCAGCGGGTGCCCTGTTGGCCATGGGCACCACATCGGGGACCCCTGAATTAGAGCAATGGGTTTCCCATCTCTGCCCACCTCAGTGCCTTTGCCTGTCCTTTGAAAATGATCTGCTTTCACTTCTTGGCAGCGGATGAGAAACTTTCTTCCTGCCCTTTTTATGTTCTGTCCCTGATGCAGCCCTTGTCTTTTCCATATCCCACGCCATCTGCCCAAATTTCTCAGAGGAATAAAAGTTCCTTTAACTCCCACCCCACCCCATATACCTACTCCAAGATCTTCTGAAGAATCCCTAAAGTCCCTGTGGATCACCCTGGAAGGTAGTTATGTGAAAGGGGTCCAGCAATTGCAGCAGATGGGAAGGGGTGGTGGTGGATCAGAGTACTCTGCTGGAAACTGCAAGTTCCCCTAGTCCACACCAGCCCATTTAGGGAATCCATCTTGAATGGAGCTTTTTATTTTACTGTAGAAGAATAACAAAGTGTCACTGGGGGGGGGAATAAAGGGGGAGCAGAGAGAGAAAGATTTAAGTCAGGCAGGAAAATAGGGGAGGGAGAACCCCACTGTTGCACTGAAGGGCAGATACAGTAAATTTAAAAAAAAAATCATTTCACTGGTGCATTAGAGTGGAAGTGCTCTCATTAAAACAAAACCGAATTAACTTGGCAAGTGGTCCCCTTCTTATCACTGTGCAGTAGCAAGACTTTTTTTTGCTTCGTTTGCCATGGGAACATGCATCGCTGGATTTTAATGGGGGATTTGAGAGTCCTGTAGAACCTGTAATTCGATTCCCAGCCTTTTCTAAACAGGGAGCTAGCTCAGAATGGATTGGCCGCTTATTTCGTTAAGCTGTCCGCTACATCTGGTCCATGGGGTCGCGAAGAGTCGGACTCGACTGTGCGACTGAACAACAACAACAACATACCCTGACCTGGGTGGCCCAACCTAGCCCAATCTCGTCAGATCCCAGGAACCAAGCAGGGTCATCCCTGCTTAGTCTTTGGATGGGAGACCCCCCAAGGAAGTCCAGGGTCAGTACACAGAGGCAGGCAGTGGCAAGCCACCTCTGTGCATCTCTTGCCTTAAAAGCCCTATGGGGTTGGTGCAAGTTGGCTACGACTTCACCACCTCCCCTGGCCTAGATGGTCCAGGCTAGTCTGACCTCGTCAGATCTCAGCTAAGCAGATTAGTACTTGGATGGGAAACCACCAAGGAAGTCTAGGGTGCTGTACAGAGGCAGGCAACGGCAAACCCACCTCTGTGTGTCTCTCTTGCCTTGAAAACCCTATGGGGCTCTCCATAACTCGGCTGTGGCTTGAAAGCACTTGACATGCATATCCACCACATGGTGATCAGCATATTTATAGTCTTGTTTGGCTCTTCAATCATATATTTCCCATCATTCCATTCATAAAATGAATCCCCCCCAGGGCAGGGTAGCTACCTTCAGGTAGCAGTGGTGCTCTCTTGTCAATCTCGTTGCACTCAGACCATGACGTCTAGTTACAGCCTCAGGTTGCGGTTTTCTTCTCTGACACCTCCCCCCACCACCACCACCACCAGAGTCCTTTTCAACAAACACCTCATTGTTTTGCTTTTGTGTTGGCAGTTAAGGGGTGGATGTGTGCCACAGGTGGAGGTTTGGCTCCAGACATTTTCGGTGGTAGCACACCCACCATTTAAGAGGGCCGAGAGTTATATTATGCTAAATGCCTTCAGGAGAAATCAAGCATTGAAAAGTCAAACTAACAAAGAGGCACTTGACATGGCAATTTCTGGAGTTGCGTGCGGGGCCTCCTTCCACAAAGGCAGCATCCATTTACTGTCTAGGTGATTGATAGCCAGGGCTGGAAATTAGGCTTCTAAAGTAACTGTTAAGGGCTGTGGTAGGAGTTCTTTATTGCATGCTTGCTGTTTTGCTTTTTGGTTTCCTCCACAGGCTCTCTCTCTCTCCTCTCTCTCTCTCTCTCTCTCTCTCTCTCTCTCTCTCTCTCTCTCTCTGTGTGTGTGTGTGTGTGTGTGTGTGTAAAGAAAGCGATGGCCCAATGATTTGTATTTTTAGGGAGAGGCAGGTCAATAAAGAGTGGGTGTCCAGAAACAATATCCCCCTCTCCCAAAAAGGTTCGTAGGGCAGATTTGTTTGTCCGGGCTGTTTTGCTGGCTGCAATAACTTCATAGTTGAGGGGGAGTTTGAGGACTCATATTGGGGAGGGGGGCTTAGTTAATTGGGCTTCACATGAAGAAGACTCGACTACTAGGGTCAGAAGTAGGGTTGCCATTCTCCAAGTGGGGCCAGAAGATCTCCCAGGATTACAACTGCTCTCCGATGACAGAGATTGGTTCCCCTGGAGGAAATGGCTGCTATAAGGGACCCAAAGGCGTTATACCCCACCCTCCCCAGGCTCCACCGCCAGATCTCTAGCAATTTCCTAACCCAGACCTGGAAACCTTAAAGACTGGCAAAGGACTCTATCTAAGATGCTGGAGAACTGTTACCAGTCAGAGAGGGCTTGGAATCTGCAACTGGGGGCCCCTGAGATGTTCCCGGGGAGGGCGGGGTATAAATATAATAAAATTTAAAAAAATATTTTAAAAAACCTGGCCACTTAAGGAGTGATGTGCAGTCCCCCACTATTGCCCCGCCAGAGCTGAAAGAGGGGGGGGTTGCAGTTGCAGTAAGGGGATCGACCCCTTTGTGAGGAATGGCAACAGGCCGCCCATTCCAATTCTGTACCCAAAGGGGGACCTCTGGCAGAACTCGTTGCTACCAAGGGCAGACAATACTCATCTGTATGGTGATTCCTGACACTCTTCTCTATTCTAAACCATTCATTCCTCCATTTTGGGTGTTTGTTTTGAGATATCAAGGAGCTGCGGTGGCTCAAGTGGTTAAGACGCTGAACTGCAGGCTGTGGAAGGTCGGTAGTTCAGCAGTTCGAGACCCGGGTGCCGCCTGATGGAGTGAGCTCCCATCTCTAGTTCCAGCTCCTGCCAACCTAGCAGTTCGAAAGCAAGAAATTGCAAGTAGATAAATAGGTACCACTTCGGTGGGAAGGTAACAGCCTTGGTCTTTAGTCATGCCGGCCACATGACCACGGAAACGTCTTCAGACAGCGCTGGCTCTCCGGCTTTGAAACGGAGATGAGCACCACAACCTTAGAGTCGGATTCGACTGGCTTTCGAGCAAGGGAACCTTTACCTTTTACGTTTGAGATATCACCAGCAAGCATTGTTTGCATGTATTTGAGAATTCTGTCAGTATTAAGAACTAGAGACTTGTGTTTGTTGCAGGGGTCCTATGAAGACTTGTAGGAGGGGCCAAATCTTATCTCCTCTTCCAACTGGTTCTCATTCTCATGCTGTCTCAGCTTTCCTCTCCTCACTCCCCCATCCAGCTTCTCCCCTTCTCTACCTTTGATCCACCCCCCCCACCTTCCTTCTTACCTCCCCACTCCTTCTTTCTCTCCCAAATTCACTTCATGTTTCAAAATGAAACTGCAGCGGCCATCTTGGGTCACCTAGCAACTGCAGGCTGTAGTCTGAAGTTGCCTAGGTAGTCCAAAATGGCTGCTGAGAATTTGTGAGGTAATCTTGCAGGATCCTGGCATTTTAAAACTTTTAATCTTTATGTTGCCCCCTTTTGTCAAATGTTAACATTTTTATGCAGACTTAGGAGTTCCTCTTGATTATTTTTTCATCTCCCATTGTGCAGAGGTTTCAATCCACACTCTGGAGCCAGGTTCAGAATTAGATTATATTGACAGGATTTTGACAAGGCTGAATGCTGCTTCCTACGCTTGGGACTATATCTCTCTGTCTATCACATTTTTATCCTTTCCATGCTTCTAGGAGCTCAGGCCAGCATATATGGTTCTCTCCTCATTTTATCCTTATAACAACCCTGTGAGCCAAGGCTGAAAATGACTGGCCCAGAGTTGTCCAGAGAACTTCGCAGCTGAGTGGGGATTTGAACACAAGTCTCCCACCACAGTCTAACACCCACAGTCTGACACCACAGTTGTAGGTGCTAGTTATTTTAAGTTCCTATTACTTAATATTATGCCGTTTCCTAAATAAACAAGGTGTTTAACGGGTCCTGTCTGTAGGATTGCCAGCTGGCCTGGAGGAAAATGTCCTGTCCCTTTAATAGAGGCATCATGCACAGAAATGGGCTGCTGAAACTTTCCATGGCATGGAGGTAAATGACATCACCTGACGAATACCATCCCATTAAGCCTCTGTTAAAGGGACTGAACGTTTTCTCGAGGCCCATTCGCATTGCTACTTATGTGGGGTATGAAAGAGTTATATTTTGCATGTCTCATGTTGAGTTTCATTGTGTTGTGCTCTCTGAGGTTAAGATGGCCACCACCCTCATGCTGACTGATATAGCCAAGTGTGTGCAGAGACAGAAAACTTATCCCAAATATTTCTTCTTACCGCAGATGGAGAATGAACGGAAATCCAATACCTCAAAGCAGAGATACTCGGGAAAAGTCCATCTTTGCATCGCCCGCTATAGGTAATGCCAGCCTACAATGTAAATGTTTTGCACCATTCCTTTACTCTTGTGTAGAGGAAGCGTGAATCATATTCCCAGCTGTGGAAACTTGTCTAGGAGGTGAAGAGAGGCCGGTCCAGATGGGGGTTTCTGGCTAAACTGAAGCAAGTCAAGGTACGGCTTGTCCTTGAGGGAGCTGAGTTCCTTTAGCTGACTGGAACAGCAAATCAAGGGGCGTTTCTCCATTCTCATTTTCCTCACTTGTAAGTTTCTGTTTCTCCAGGGTAGTCTGTTCCAATTTGATATTTCGTCGATTTGATATTACATTAATTTATGTTCAGCATAAAAAAATCTGCAGGGAGATATGTGTCAAATACACCAGTGTAATATCAAATCGACCACTAGAGGGAGCATGGGGGAGCATGAGGAATAGACACCCCCCCAAAAAAGAAACCAGAACATACAAGCGAGGAAAATGAGAACACAGGAAAGCCAAGCTCCTATGGATGTTGAGCCTTGTTACATGACTTGGTGTCCAGGGCCTCTTACATGGGCAAACCTTGGCTTTCTGCAGTCCCCTCCAATGGTAGCACAAGCTAGCATCCTTACTAGTGAGCCTAGTGATGGCCATGAGCATAGATAAATGTCAAGATGGGGTTAGACAGATTCATGGAGGATAGATCCAGGGGTCATTTCCTGCAGGAGCTCACAGGAGCGGAGCTCCGGCAGTAAAGAGCTCAGGGGGCGGGCACATGCAACAAGCCCTGCTCCCCGCTCCTTCTCTCCCTTTTTCTTTCCCTCCTTCTCTCCTTCTCTTTCTTTCCTTCTTTTTCTTTCTTTTTCTCCTTTTTTCCTTCTTTCTTTCCCTCCTTCTTTCCTTCTCTCCTTCTTTCCCTCT